AGTCACTCAAATCCTCCCAACCGTTATACTGAAATCATAGTTTTAGGAAATAAATGGAAGGAGAAGTCATGGAGCAGCTCTTGATATGTCACATTATTAGCAGTTTTGCATTATTTATTTTCAATATTTATTTTCTAACTGTGTTCCAAATAGACATCCTTTCTTTTTTTATTAATTATTCTTTGATAATGATTTTTTTTGTGCAAATCTGTTAGTTATTTGTTCAGAATTCGTATTTCTCTTACATTTGTAATAGATGTGAATAAATACAAAATCATCAGGTGAGATGAGAAACACTAATCCATCTGAAGATTTTTTCTTTTGGAGATAAAATATTTTTACTAACAGACAAAATACAAATGTAATGGCAACAATAAAATTAAAACCTGCAGTAATGTGACTGGTTGACAGATTTCACACGTTTCACCAAACCATTTATAAATGACAAATATGTGCAATCATCTTGGTTAACTGTATCTAAAGAAGGTTAAGAGCAACATTGACATTCTATCATAGTTGTGTTTCTGGCCACCAGTGACTCTGGAGGAGACAGAGAAATGTACATATGGGCTTTAAATGCTGAATGTTGCATTATGTTCCCTGGCTGATAATCATGTCCATCAGCTGTTTGGTGCAGATAGTGTACTTTGCAGTTGTTTATTTCGTCGCAGCTCTTGCTGCTGCTGGAAATGGGTGATGAAAAGACAGTGAATCGAGAAACATAAAGTAACTTTACCTTTTGCTAAAACATGTTAAAAATGCTCTTCAGAGTTGCTAAGAAACTGCAGATATCACCTCTTTCTGTCAGATCGCGTTCCCTGAAATCTTTTTGTTAACTTCATATTTTTTAGTTTTAAGTAAATTTTTACCGCAGGATACAGTAATTATTATATAATTTATTTCATTTTAATTTGGACCGTTACCGTCACAACTCACAACAGGGTCTTTTTTTGACCATGAAACATATAACATGTGTAATTAGGTAAACCAGAACATGGCTGTTTACTTGAGGTGTGCATTTTTTTATTGTGCGTCACTCCGTTGATTTAAAATGTATTGGTATTGGCTTTTAATGAGTCACAAAGGGAAACGGATAACCATTTACCGAGAACTGTAGTGAATCCACAGACGTTCTAATTTGTCTCCTAATGGGTTGAATGAGGAATTGCCTCCATCGCTTCCAACAATGTTTTTCCCTCCTGGTCTCTTCAGCCCTTCTCTTTCCGTTAATAAAGCCTGTGGAGTTTAACTGCATTTCATTATTACTTCTGAGTAGAAAACATATTAAATCTTTATATGAGTTGATTGATCAATTGCTCAATGATCATGTTTGATTAACTTTTTTATAAATGATCATCAGAGTTTATTTTTTAAATCCCACTACAAACATAGATAAAATACATACAAGTCACAGCTTTAAACAGTTTCTTCAAAGCAAATACCCTAAAACTAAATTGACTATAATATAAGGAAAAGAGAAGCAATACATGCCGCTTGTTTTACATTTTGGTTACAAATAATAGATTTACCAATCGTCCAAATTATTCGCGATTAGTTTAATTTTTAATCTTTTAAGGAAAAATAAGGGATTAAAGCCAATACAGACAGATTGAACTGCAATAATTGTTTTGAAAGATTAGTAATAAAGTATAATTATAAAGTTACAATTTAATTTCAGACCAATACTGTATATTTGATTTGCTTTTTACTGGATATAGCAGAAACATTTTAAAAGATCTAAAAAAGATGAAACCAGGCGTACACAGTATGAGAAGCGTATAATTGGAGCTGTGTGTGCTTGTTTGTTTTTTTACTTTTTTGACATGCTGCATAATAACTGATGTTACCAACACCTCAAACTGGCGGTGAAAACACTGCACACCAAACATCTTATCTGTAATTTCCTTCATGGTCCCAGTATCAAACAGCAGCAGAGGGATAGGAATCTTTTTTTCTCCCTCGCTATGTGTGTTTACGACACAACGCTTGTTTGAAATGTGGTGCCGTGACCATGGAACAGCTTGTAAACACCGTGAGCGATGACAAAGGAAGGCATTGTTCTATGCTTCGCTGATGAAAAGTCAGTGTATGATTGACCTCTCGCGTTGTAAAAGGTCAGGATTCAGAGACAGCGAAACCATTTCGGTCTGTCTCCGGAGCCGTGCAGATGATTTCACCCGTCGCTTTGTTGAGTTTGGATCTGATCGGGGAGAGAGAGGGAGAGACTTTTGTTTTGTGTTGTCACTGTTACCTTTGACCAAACTCAGCGGCAAAGAGGTTTATGGCTGTCGCATGCACACATTCCTACAGTTTTGTTTCCATAGAAACACTGAGTCCCGGGCAGGCGTGTATTTTTCAGTTACATAAGCCTGTTGCCGGTAATACAAAAAAACACACCGATATGGGTGTTCTCATTTGACTCGGTTCCTATTTTTAGGAATTGCAGTCAGTTGCTGGATCATTTATATATTAATCTGGTTTGAATGTTTTGTGTTGCTGTAAAACTGTGTTTCATCTCGAGGTCTCCGTCAATGATTTCTCCCCACATTTCCATCCCGTTTTGAACCGTGTCATGGCCTGAGTGAAAGTTGAGGCACACTGTTTTTCTGCGTGCAATATGAATGTAGGTGTTTGCAGAGCAGCTCTTTTTATCAACACAATTGCACATATGTGATGCAACCATGTCTATGATTATGCGACGGCTCAGGCAACGGCTCTTGAATAATGCATAGGAAGTAAGTGCATATTAACGACCATTAATAAAGTCCAGTGCCTTTGTTAGTTTTTGACGGCGCTATAGCTAATTAGAGGATCCACATCAGTTTCTTCCTAATGTTTTTGGGGTTGAGCGGCTCTAAAGGAGGGGAAACAGGTTGAAGAGGGATTGAGCTGCAGGCCGGCAGTGTTCATGTCTTTTCCAGAGACTGAGGTCTTGCAGTCACTCCTACACTATGTGCAGGAACAATGGAGCATTATTAATAGATGTGAGATGAAGCTATTTAAGTCTTTTGTATTACTGAAGCAAACTTTAGCCCGAGGCACAATGTCATTTTGCTTGTTACAACCTTTTATCTTTTCATGCACGATCGAAGAAGCTATTGAATTTCTATCCCTTTGTTTACTGTATGTCCAGTAAACATTTCAGCATCGACTGTACTATTCAGTAAAGCAGGTATGGCTGACGGTTAAGTAGCTGTTTTAGAACTAAAACCAAAAATTTACACCACAATAACTAAATGTAACCGGTTAATGATCAGAAGCCGTTTTAAAAGCACTCAATGCCGTAAGATTTCCACTCCCACTTAAGTCTCAATCGCTTACGTCCTACAGTTCTCATATCCCTTTTCACTGCAACGCACTTCCATATGCCCAAAGGCTCCGAGACTGTGAAGCAACGGTGCAGACGTTATACTGTGATTACCCAGAACACACTTGATGCTCAGTCTCTTGCACATCTGCGATTGTGTACCGGTTTGTTATCAGCGAATTATTTTAGGACCTTGGGAATAGAGGGGGGAATCACAGATGCCTCCAGTTTCGATGAGGACAATCTTCACAATAAGCAGCGGTGTCTGACTGTGAGCGAGCGCTACATCCTGGTATTCAGCCAACCGACGTTGCCATAACGATGTTACTGTAAGCTGGTAATAAAGACACTTGATAATAAGCTACTGCCCGGGTGATTCCTAATGTAAGTCTTTACACGGGGGACCACCCCCCCCCCCAGCCATTCCTCAATGTCAAAATAAGGGCTTTTGGGAATGATGTAATCAATGTAGTATTGTATTTAAAGTGTAATTCTAGAGTTTTGTTGCTCACTTTCAGTGAGAAGGCAAAGTTGCTCTTTCTTCGGAATATTGACTCTGTCATGATCGATGGCGCTTTGCTGTGAGCAGGGTAGCCTGATGTAATGATAATAATGTACAAGCAGCAAGCGGCGACTGAATAGTGGTGATGGGTAGTCACTAATATGCATACAACAACTTTTTTTGTTGATCATTTATCTAAAGCTCATTATTTGACTAATAGCATTATTTGCTTCCAAAGTGACATAAGTTTTATGAAGGGATTTAAGTCAGATTCTCCTCCAAGGGAACATTTATTTAAAGTTCACTTGAATCGTGTGCTGAATTTGCAGAGCGTATTTATTTTCTGGGTACGCACACAAACACAGAAAAGGCTAAATAGGATATCGCTTTTTAATTTGTAGTTGGCAATGAGAGAAATCAACCCTTTTAACTAAATTGTCGGACTCACTATGGCTTCTCTCCGGCAACCGACAATGTTCTGTAACAGATACTTCCTGTTGCTTTTTTGTGTTTTGGATTTAATTGGGTTCCTTTTCTTGTCTGAGAAAGCTCAAAGGAAAATGTTGTGTGATCTACAGAAGCTTTTGCCTGCAGCCGTTTCCTCGTGGTATCCAGCAATTTGATCCTCTTAATCCTCCATCTCTTGTGGCTGAAGGTGTGGACTGAACTGTGAGGTCGAATAGGGGCTGATGTGGGGAAAACCTGTGTTTTTCACTAGAAGCACCGACTGACCCACCACTTAGTTGATGGGTCAGTCGGTTAAGATACCAACTCAAACAGCTGGATCGGACACTGTGGTTGGCGTTGACAGTCGACTCAGTTTAATTACATTTTTGAATACATTTTAGCATAAAAGGAGGAATTTCCAAAGGAATTGAGTATTTAATGAAATAGCTTTTAAAATCTGTACAACGCACAACATTTAACAATCTTTCACGAAATGAACAATAAATATCGATAAATACATTAAGTCCTTCTTTATTGAGGCACTTTTGCTTGCAATATTGGTTGATTTGTGATGAGAAATAGCTGAAATACTGGTAAATATAATTCTCTTCAGCAGGTCGATCTAAGCCAAGATTGACACATAATTTACCACCGTTTTTGAGGCCTCAAAAGGGTTCTTCTAATCTGACAATTCATCCACGCAATGGTCACATCTTTAAATGTGTTTTTCTGTCTTTTTAACAGGGATGACGTGCCAAGCGAGGACGTCTTACACCGAGGACGAGGTTCTGTGGGGACATCGCTTCTTCCCAGTTATCTCCTTGGAGGAAGGCTTCTTTAAAGTGGACTACTCTCAGTTCCACGCTACATTCGAGGTGCCCACCCCTCCGTTCAGCGTGAAGGAGCAGGAGGAGGCTCTGCTCCTCTCCTCCCCCCTCATGGCTCCTTCCCTGTGCAACAGCGGGGACAAGAACAGCTCTCTGGACTGCCTGGAGCCCCTAGGGGACAACGACAGCACCACCAAGCTGCCCACCAAGCTGCAGAAGATCACGGGGCGGGAGGGTCTGCCCAAGAAGCTCCTAAGGATGAGCTCCACCACCTCCGAGATGACTTACAACTTCGGAGACCTGCCCATGAAGCTGCAGCGAATCAGCTCCGTTCCCGGCGTCTCCGACGATAAGCTGACGGGGAAAGCCTCCAAGATCGGCTCGGAGCCCATGAGCAAGTCCGTGGCTGACTTACCTCCCAAACTGCAGCGAATGGCCGGTGGGGGAGGGGGCAGGATGGACGGACACCTGCCGCCCAAACTCAGAAAGATGAATTCAGATCGCTTTACATAAAGCAGGCAGGCTATTTTACCCTGTGCCATCCTCCCTCGTTTCCCTTCCCTTGTACTATCCCTAATTTATTAATGGACACTATTCTTATATGAAAAGAAATGTAGAAAATGTGCAAACGCACCTTATATAAAGTAGGGTGATGGAAATGAGCACATTTGTCCGCGGATGTAAGTGTACATGCTATGAAAGACCTCTGATATATTTTTTAGGGATGATGTACAATTAGCACAAACCGGCATGTAAGTAACAACGCATGTCGAGCAGAATCTCAATCTTTTTTGGCATGACGTTTATTGAAATATTATTTTGCAAAAACAATTACATTTGTGATTTTACAGACAGTGAAAAATTGCACAAAGCCATATGATTTACAACGAGGAAAACCTGCATCACATGGTTCTAATTTGTGGTGACAAAAGGCACATACATTTGTTTTGAGTTGATTGCTTTTGTCGTTTTAATGTAAACTTGTGGCAATGTTACGTTGATTGCATGCTCCTCTTATTGACTTTGCTATAAAAAAGGTAATAGACAAAGATGTTTAGCCTTAATTATATTACCATGTTTCCATTTTCATGTCTGTTCACAGCTGGATTTTCGGTATTTCATATATAGACTATTTTACCATGTGCGATTTTATGACTTTATGAGTTGAACAAATACAGAATATGTTGCTGGATGATGCATTTTGCATTATAAAATGTATTATTGGCATCATATGACCTGTCTGAAGTGGGCAAAATCCCACCCAATTTTCCCTTGCTTATTAAAGTAACACTTAAGTTGAAAGAGTCAATACTTTTACTTGACAAGCACAAAACAATCATTTTATTCTACTATATTATATATTAGAAACCATTTGTGGACATTTTTCCTCATAAATCAACTGCGGACAGCAAGTCTGTACTGTGCAATTCCTTTCTTTCATCATATAACAAAATCAATACAAACATATGGTAGGGCGGTGTGATCATTCACACAAGACACTCAATTAGTATTCAACTTAGGTGTTACTTGTTAGATTCAGAGGTGAGCCCTTGAGGAAATCATAACACCTGTCTAAAGGGCCCATAATTTGCCTCCTTTTGTGATGAAAGCAATAATATTATAATGACTATAATCCTTATATAGCCACAGGGTCTCCCACAGTCCCACATTCACTCTGTTTACTGAATCCATGCCATGAAATCTGGTATTCTCTAAATGCATCATAGACATTGTATGACCAAATCTCTTCAGGAATAAACATCTAACCTAACTGTTCAGCATCCTGCTACTTTGACTTGGTGTATAGCATGCTTAACCCGATAAAACAAGTGTATTACTTATAAAAGGGGTTGGTTGAAATCCGAAACATGTTTTCCTCACCGTAAAGCACCATCATGGGTCCGTCTGATCTTTGCCAAAACCGTTGCATGTTCAACTCACAAGTTTTGACTCATGTGTTTGTCAGAGTTAGATAACAGCATGTAGCTACAGCAAGCAGATGGTTAGAATAAATACTGTAGCCAGCTTGGCTCTGTCCAAGGGTGACAAAAGGCCATCTCCTAAAGCCACTAAAGCAAACCTTTCATGTGTTATTACTTGTTTGTTTAACATATCACCTTACACAGTTTGTCCAATCAAATTGTTTGAATCTGCACAAAAACGAAAGTGTTAAAACAACATATACCCCATGTAAAAAGGCAAATTATTTTGAATTATCACATTATTTTGTTTTAATTAAAATTTTGCAATTCCATAAGAACAAAATCCATAAGAAATCCTGAATAGAAACAAGACAACGATCCACACTAGAAAGAAGAAAACGCCATACAGATGTACCATATGCATTTATAAAGATGAGTTAAAAAGCCCCAGTATAAACCATATACTTGTATGAGGAGTTTTCTATGCTGACTGATACTGAACATTTGCTCTAGCCGAGTCGATACCATGGACCAAAACCATGTTCAAAATGTCATGAGCAGAGACGCGGCTCATCGCATCTTTCTAGAATCAGTGGAAAACTCTGCAGAGCCTTTTTTTTTCAAGAGATACAACATTCCCGATGGACTGATTTTGCTATTTTTGTATGTTTCTCTTGCCTTATTAATAAGATACGCAGGACTGAAAATCGATGTGATCTATTTCTAAATCTGGACCACAACTGTGCCAGACAGAGGATTCCACATCGAAACAGAGCCGCCAGTTTTAACTGCGTCAAGTGTTTTATTATTGTGCTCTCACTGTCTTGATCATTCACTGTGTAATCACTGCTGCTGGTCATATTTCACAGTACACCCTTTGTTTCCGTCAAATACACTTTATAAATACTAACTGTGGTTCAGGAGGTACCTTAACTTGTGGAGTACAGTGGTTTGACTGTATGCATCTCAGGCAGATGGGGTAATTATGTTGTTATCTTAAGAAAACCTTTTCTTCTGAATCTCTCAAATAAACTCCCTGGCTCAGAATAGCAAAACAGCTGATGGTGTTATCCTCTCTCTTTTGGAGATTTGGTAAAAAATCCCTCAAGGCCATAATAAATCAGTTATTTTTCTGCCAGAAAAAAATGGCCCTTTACGACAAAGGATATCTTTGCTTTAGATGTTGTGTTTTTGTCTTATGTCACACGAGGTCTCAGCAGCAGGGCCGTTGAGACTCTCCACAGAAATAGTTTAATAGTAAAATGGTGAAATGATGGACTCCACTGTATTCAGATAATGTGGGAGGATTGTAGCAGGAGGCTCGAAAAGGCTTATTCAGAGTTTAAAATTCCATAGAAAATGTAATTCTATGAGGGATGTTTCGATCATTTCCGTAATCGGGTTTCGAGACAAATATTATCGGACAAAAACTCATCCTGTAGGAAAGAAAACAGCTGGTCTTGCTCACGGATTACAGGACAAATTAAACAATTTACACTGAAGAAGTTTTCCGGTAGACATTTTTTGCTTTCCATTCACCATTACATACGTTTGACTGGCTGTTTGGGCACTTCTCTCCCCCACATCACTATGTGTGCGCCTCCAGATGGCTACGATTCGTCACCCATGAAGAATGGCGCAACATAAGTCGGAACCGTTGGTGACTTTGCGGCGCACGACCCGCTGCAGAAACAAGGCAAATTGCTTCGCACAGTTACAGTGGTTTTCTGTATTTCCCTTTTAGCCTCGTCTGCTCTCATGTGAAATGTAATCCATGAGTAGGCTGAGGGATGCCACATCCAATTTGCAGAATTGTGTTAGGGCATGTTTATTTGGAGCTTTATAGCTGTCCAATTGACAGCTTTCTAAGCCCCTCCCCATTAACAGTGATTTTCCAATCCAACAATGATGAGGTACTGGAGGCCTTGTACGTTTTGGATGCTGTTTATTTTTGTTAATCCGTCTTCATGACCAACTAGCGCCAGCAGCTCCGTCCTTGAAATTTACACTCGGCACTCTGCAACACATGCTAAAAGGTTTTCCCCTTGTACTGTTAAAACGGAAACTTCAAAATCAAAAATCCAAACAAGAAAGCATCTGTTGTCTCCACAGCAAGCCAACCAGATTCATGTCAGAATGAAATGACAACGTAAATGACTTAATGTCTGTGTGTGTTGATGCTTTATGTGTATAAATTCACTGCAATACCAGGACAAAAAAAGAGCAGTTAGTTCTTGTTTCTATATATTCCACATGGATCATCTGGTGGGAAGGATGCTGATTTTTTGATGGGGGCTTACAGCTTCATGGTTAGTTTGTGCTCAAAAAGACCTGGTGAGGACATCGTCAAGCATGTGGAAAAACCAAAGTGTCCTTTTAAGCGATTTCACATGTGGAGAAAAGCTCCTGATAATGATAATGTGAGGATAACCATTAACACTTTTGGACAGTTTTTCCTGGAGGGCATTTGTATCGCACATATAGTTTCACACATGAAAAGTGACAGAAATACTACAGCTAGGGGGAAAAAAATAAAAATGCTCACCTCAGCCCAGCACTGCAAGAAGTGAGTGTTGTATTGACATGTTCATATTATTTTGATCATAGTTTGTTATTAGCGTTTGAGATTATATTCAATAATGAAGGAAATTAAAAAAAACAGGAATCAGCATTAAAAAGCTGTAGACAGTTTATGTTTTTATTTAACTAGCTAACCACTTAAATAAGAAGGAATAAGAAGCCCTCCTTTGTCTAGCTCAATTTGAAATGAAGGCCCCTTTGTTCGAGAAATAATAAAAAATTCAAAGGCAAATCAACCTCTATTATTATTATTATTAACTAGAGGTTGCGTTAAAACAGAAAGCTCAAAAGCAACGGTTATTCTTTACGTCTCATCATATATTGGAAAACCAGAAAGGTCTCCATCATTCAATCATCTGTCGGTTTTAACCTGCTGTTTGGGAACAAATGGGCACAAACCTTTTGGGACTAACAGTCTGAATTTGTAACTGGCACATACTTTAGTCTTTAGTCCATCAGGCTGGTTGAATGAATCACATTTTCAAGGCCTCTGCATTATTTTACAAATTCATTTTTATTATACAGCCCCTGACTCATGATATCTGGCTGTGATTTACTGAAGCAAAGGGCTGCAAAGCTTAGCGCTCATTCCAGCTTAAGGCAATCATGATGCTGGTCGGACGATATCTGCACCGTGAAATGAAAAAAAGGTGGTATTGCTGTTTGTTGTTTGTGATAAACTGAAGTCACATAACGAGAGTGGAAGAAATGAATGAGATAGAGAAACGCTTAATATACAGCGATATATTTGATCAAATAAGGAATGTACTAGTAATATGCAATTATTGTTTCCTCTAAGATCAACTAGCCCTTACATTTAAATATGATATTACAAGTAATTGTACTAATTCATTCATATTCTTTGAACTAAATGGATTCTGTTATAGTTTTCTTTTCAGTCTATTACAGATCTCCAAACATCAGTAAAAAGACCAAAGTGACAGCGAGATGAGAGAAGTGCATTACAGAGAGAAGAGACCCAATTTTCTGTGCGAGATGAATAATGAAATTTTCTGAATTGTTCCAATCCTGTAACTTTGCAAAATGACGCTGATCAAAGTTGATTCTGGAAGGGATGCTGGTACGGCTGAGTTTAAAATGTCTGAGAGGGTGTAGGGGAGAATACCGCAGAGAGGACAGTTCTGTCTCTTGTCACGTCCTGTCATGACTTGTTTTACATTTACACCTTTCCCTCTTTGTCCGATGGCTCACACCGAGGCACTACAAATAGTTCGGACAATTCACTGTGGAATCGGCTGCCAGAATGCAGCTGCCACGAAGGCAGCCCACTGCAGGGCCCGTTTAATTATTACTATTTACAGTGCATTGTTATAAGTTTCCATCTTACATGGTAAGAGCTAAAAATCCATCAGCTGTTTATCATCCTTTGTTTAAACGTCTGTACGCTCACAGACAGAATTAAAAAAAAACATCCCTACACACCCACACACCCACGCACGCACACTCACACAGCCACAACAGATGCCTTGTCTCTGGTGCATTTTTTTGTTTTTTTAAAGATAACGGGCTGGTGTGGGCGTCCACAAAAAAAGAAGAAGACAAAAACAACAGCACAGTTTGCACCCAAAGTCAAACTCTACCTCTGGTTTAGTCCCCAGCAGCGCAGGGAAAAGGAGCCGAGGACACATCACACCGAGCCCGCTGTCTCTGTAGAACACTTAGCTCGCTCGCCTGGCGATTTTTATCTGCTTCTCTCCCGTTTCATGTTTGCAAAGCAACAGTCGCCCTCCTTTGCCAGAAATATTCTCTGAGGCCACAGGCAGTGCGGGTCCTTGGTTGTTTTCCAGCGATGGACAGTAACTGCTTGCCGTGCAGTTGAAAATGTGATCCTCAGCAAAAAAACACGTATCGGCTCGGTTCTAGTTCCTTGTGCGTGTGTAATTAACCGTCAAAAGATATTTGAACGTATTTATACATTGGTGAAATAATAAATCAAGTCAATAAATACAAATTCTGACACCATCCATCATCGGCTCAGTGATGTGACACACCGCGCAGGCTCATCGGGGGGGATGTTTCTTTGAGCTGGAGTGAACCGTCATAAATCTACCACCAGCAAAATGACTGCATACTCAAAGGGCACCAAATAATTGTGGTGCTTCAGGCAGAGCCAGTAGGACTGAAATAAAACAAGTGCTCTCTTTCTCTCACAATCCATGCACGCTAAAAATAAGCCTGTTCAGACGAGGGTGGCGGATTCTCGGCTGCATCCCCGGCTCTGGCTGTGGAGGCAACTGTTTGATAAGAGTGGAGCT